ATTTCAGTTTCCACGATATCTAGTAAATAAGTACATTGAGTAATCCATAGGCGTATTGATCAGTGAAATTAACCACAAATCCAGTGTATTGTCTGTCAAACCAATTACTATATGAAGAGCTGGTATTCAAATGAAGTGCTAATTCGTTGACTTTAATGACCCAATAGTTGTGTCCAATAATCAGTAGTAATTGAGCCGAGCCTTCATTCTCCGACTCAAATATGCGCTGAAATGTTGAATCAATTTTATAATCATTTTCGGCATAAGATTCACAAAAATCTTTGATTTCNAATGACCCAATAGTTGTGTCCAATAATCAGTAGTAATTGAGCCGAGCCTTCATTCTCCGACTCAAATATGCGCTGAAATGTTGAATCAATTTTATAATCATTTTCGGCATAAGATTCACAAAAATCTTTGATTTCTTGTCCATTAAGTTGTGATGAATTGATAATCACTGAAAATAAAAATTTTTAAGAATATTACAGTTACTTATTTCATATACCTATCAAAATTGTGATTAAAAAATTCATTTTAATTTCTAAATTGTAGACTTGGTACAAATTTAATGTTTAGTTGATATGCAAATTAATTGTGAACTAAGTGCAACACAAATGAATGTCTATTAAATATAAGTCTAATTAGTTTGGGATATTAATGTTAGATAGACTAACCAATGATTAATAATAATAATAATTAACAATAACTAATATGGACTATGTGATGATTTACATAATGTGTGCTCAAATTACACCATTTAAATTAAAAACATATTTGTATGATTAATATTTTTATAAACAGGATAAATGACTCTATCTGTAAAATATTTTAAATCAACAATAATAATTTTCAAACATACCATTAACTCAGTTTACAATTAATTTTGTCTGAAATATTATATTTCCTATTCTTATTTAGTATACTATTTTTAGTTTAATTGTAGAAATTAATTGTTAATAGTGCAGTACATAATGATTTTGCAATAGTAAATTAACTAGCTATACTTGGTTATTTAAATAACATTATGTGACTTATTTATCTTATATTTCATATCAATTAAATATGTTTATTTCTATTCTAGTTATGAAATGAAAATTCATTAATAAAATATTTTTATGAACCTTTTGTCAACATTTTATAATTTTTAGCAAGCAATATCAAATTACAATAATACTACTTGTAAAACAATACTTTTATATGGCAATAATAAATTATTTATTAATGAATGATTGTTTTAGATAAAATGTTTTGTGTTTTAAATTGCAAGTTTAAAATACCAATTCATATTAATTTATTATTCATTTTATTTTTCAAAATGTTTATTAAAATAGTATTCTTATAGTGTATAATCATTTAGTTTTACAAACTTTTCTAATTCTGAATATTTATTAATTTAATATAGCTATTGTAAAATAATTTTCAATAAACAATTTTATGATAAATCTTTAATACAATTTTAATATAGTTTTGAAAACATTACTATAATTAAACACTTGATTTAAAAATAAGTTTGTATAAATACATTTTTGTCAAAACATTTTAGTATTTGAATTTGGGTCACAAAACAACACCTGATAATAGCATGCAATACAATGATAGCGCATGTATTTCAGTGCAGAATATAATGGATACTAGTGTTGACTAAACAGATTCTGTCATTTATTTGCTATTATTTTATATATTATTATACAGTACTAACATTTCTAGCAAACTATTATACAATATCTATACAATAAGTTTGCTAAATATAATTTATAATAACATTGTAATATACTTAAAATTATAATTCATGTCATATATGCTTAAAGTTTTATTATTATCATAAAACAAAAGTTCTTACAATCAGTTTGTTTTAGATATGCAATACAAATATTAAATTCTTATCAATTATTTTATACGATAATGTGGTTAATGTCAACTAGTTTTCTAGTCTATGATTTCACTTATTATTATAATTACTCACAAACATAATAATTATATTTAAATATTTTATTTCTAAATTGCATATAAAAAATGTTTTCTCACTCAAGAATTTCCGTGAATTTATTGCATAATTATTGTCGACGTGTTTGTGGCGCTAAAAATATTTTTCGTAATACTGTTAGCACTGGTAGTCGAGCGCCGGCTGCCGATCTATACGACACATTTGGTCGCAGACATAATTATTTACGGATTTCACTGACCGAGAGATGTAATCTCAGGTGTAAGTGAGCTTGAACATTTTTAATTTTATGATTTTTATTGTTAACTATTTTAAAACTACCGTAGTCTATTAATAATTTATTTCATACTACTTTATTTGAATACTTTTTATAAATTAAATAGACTTTTAAATGTTGTTGATGCTAAAATAAAATAGATTGAACCTTGTTAAGCTTACTTACGTAATAAATAGGTTTATATTGTATGCCAGAGGAGGGCATAGAGTTGACGGCCAACGACCAGCTGTTGACCACCGATGAGATCAAACAAATTAGTGGTCTGTTTGTCAAAACTCTTGGTGTGACTAAAATACGGCTGACTGGAGGCGAACGTAACTAACATTTAGATATAATTTACAAACAATTAACTCTTAATTAATCATTTGTTTTTACAAACACTGGTTCAGCGCTTATTCGTAAGGATATCATCGATATTATCAGACATTTGTCTGAATTAAGACCTTTTGGACTCAAAACAATTGGTTTGACAACTAATGGTATAGTGTTGGATAGGATGTGCTCGGACTTAAAACTCGCAGGTATGTGCTCTCTCTCTCTCTCTCTCTCTCTCTCTCTAATTAAAATTTTTTAACCACAGGTCTGAACGCAATAAACATAAGTCTCGATACATTACGAGCGGATAAATACGAGTTAATCACTCGACGGAAAGGCT